TTCAAACAAAGTTTTCAAAACAACTTCGTAACACTCTTGAAGACAGAAGCAAGGGTTAAATCGAAGTAAAACAAAAAACTTTTTTCAAATCAAACACACACAAGCAATTTTGAAAATGATGAGCAAGTACATAAGAGCCCGTAGAAAACTACGGATAGAAAGGGTGCTAATACCTTCCCTTTCTATAATCTACCCCCCGTACTCAAAATCTCGAAAAAAGGAATTTTTCTGTGCTTTTTTCCTTTCCAGTTGGATAAAATAAAAGTCGGTGGCGACTCTTGCTTACCGTACATTTGCAAATACAAAAATGCAAACCAGCATTTAAACAGTCTGGTTCTGCCACCGTATCATAGAATGTTACCCCTATGTTGGTAACGTGTAGGTAATCCTGAGTGAAGGTTGTTTACCTTCAGTAGTTTGAGTCGGTGTCGTTACTCTGATACGTAACACTCAGGGGGGTGAAAGCTTGTTGCCTTATTGTTGATTTTACTTTCGTTATTGAATTTTAAGTTGTTTTCAGTTGGACAAAGATGTTATGTCAATTGAGTTGAAAATTGTGATTCCGCTGCTTAAGTAATAAAGTTGTTTCGTTTTAAAGACTAAAATTGTTGTTATCTGTTCATCCGATGATTTAAGTGTTACATATCTATTTTATATGCGATTAAATGTCGTTGTTATAAGTTGTAAGTGTAGCATTCCATTGTTTGTTGGAAATTTTATAACTCTGATTTTAATAATATTCGCCGAGTAGAAATGGGGTGTTACACTGATGTTCAGACACGTGGTTCAACATATCCTGCTCTTGTTTCTTCTTTGGAGGTACACACTTCACTTCAGACTTTTTGCCTTTGTTCTTCATATATTGATTGACATAGCCAACCCCTTGAATATTTCCAGCATTCTTTCCAGACTTAATAATCTCATCAAGCGCATCAGAACTGCTGTTAAGAATTCTTACAGACTTGGTCATATTATCAAGTTGTGAATTAAGCAAAAGAACTCCACCCTTCAGATCAGAGATGGTGGACAGGTGCTCTACTTTTTCCGCCTTCAGACCAGAGATGATGGACATGTGTTCCACTTTTTCAGCCTCCAATTGACCAATAATTTTATTTTGCTCTTCTACTAATTGACCCACCTCTTAAATTTTGAGACACAACTCCTTGTAATAGTCAGCAAGCTCTTTAAAGGATAACTTTCACGGTCTGAGACTCCATCAGACTCACAAATTCCAGTCAAAGCAGTGATCTATTTGGCAGCTTCTTCTTCAGGATCACTTTTAGAGTCTTTCTCTGACCATGACATAGACAAGCCTTTCTTATGATTCTTAAGATAAGTGGGACACTCAGCTCTTATATGTCCAAACCATTCACACTCATGACACTGAACACCTCTTCCTTGGCTGAAATTGTCATTAGTTATGCTCCTTCTACCAAAGTCTTGGTTTTTGCTTATGTCAAATAAGTTGTTCTTGACATTTGACCTCGACTTCTAATCCACCTTCTTCAATACTTTGTTGAACTGTCTCCCAAATAACACAATAGTGTTGGATATCCCTTGTTCTGTATCCAGGTCACATTTATCTTATAGGACATCAGTATTAGAGACAAAGGCAATGCTCTTCTTCTTTTTAGATTTTTCATTGATCCCTAGTTCAAAGATCTAAAGGGATCCCATAAGCTCATCAACCTTCATGTTGTTTATATCTTGGACTTCTTCAGTGGCAGTCACCTTCATGTCAAACCTCTTTGAAAGAGATCTGAGAATTTTTCTCACCAACTTAGCTTTTGACATCTTCTCCCCTAGGGCACTTGAGGCATTGGTTATCTCAATAATATTCATGTAAAATTCATGAATACTCACATCCTCCTTCATTCTTAAGTTTTCAAACTTGGTGGTAAGAATTTGAAGTCTTGACATCTTCACCTTAGATGTTCCTTCATGAGAAGTCTTTAAGATCTCCCAGGCTTCTTTGGTAATAATGTAATTGCTTATTAGTCTGAAGATATTTTTGTTTACTCCATTAAACATATCATTCAAGGCTTTAGAGTTTCCTCGAGATAATTCTGCATCTTTATCGTCCCAGTCTTCCTCGGTCTTTACAACATCAGTAGCTTTCCCATTCAGACCTACAACCATTGGTGGATCTCATCCCTTGACCACAACTTTTCAAGCCTTGTTGTCCAGGGATTTGATAAAGGCCACCACATAAACTTTCCAATAGTCATAGTTGGTTCCATCAAGGATGGGTGATCTGTTCATAAATCATCTTTCCTTGTCCATTGTACCAGAAAGTATCTTTCCTGAATCTCACCCAGAGTCAGAGTAGGATGCTTGCTCTGATGCCAATTGAAATTCTGGTAGTCAGATCACAAATATCGTAAAAGATGTCGAGACACTAATCTCTGAACAACACCATAATGAACAAATAAAATAAAACAGTGCAGAAAACTAAAGAACACGCAGAACTGTTAATGTGTACAACAACACCTACTATGGGGGCTACCAAGTCAGAGACGAAATCAACTAGATAATATCAATTTGAAGCTAAACTCCCTTGTTTACAATTTCTCACTTAATCACTACCATTGTTTAACTTCTACCTAAGACTCACCTAGGTATGAGACCCTTCTCAAATCCCTTCCAATCATAGAATAGTGACTGAACAATTTTAAACACTTAGAAAATAACAGAAGTCACACTTCAAAGATACACAATCATTTACTGCTTAAAAGCTTTAGAATGACTGACAAAACTTACAACTCAAAAACACAGTCCAACTCTTTTATCAATATGATAACCGAGAGGCTCACAATTAACACACAAACCCTAATAAAAAATACACTGTAAGTTTCACACAAAAATTAGGTTTGTTACAGTCTATTTAAAGTCATCTTTTGGACTGGACTGGACTTCAAAACCGCAGCAAATCAACTGCTAAAAACCAGCAGAAATTTCTGCAAAAAAAATATATGACTTCAATCATTAGTTTCCTAAATTATCTCCATAATTAGAAACCAAGAATACTTTTTTAATTCATCTTGAATTTTTTAATCCTTAAACTGAGCGCCACATAAAATAATATAATATTCTCAAAATATTTTACATCTGAGATAAATTAAAATATTCAATTGTCCAACTGTACACAGACGCGATGTCGAATAACCCTACATAAAACATCTTGTTCAACATATTATTTCAGTTAATAGAACATTTTCTTTTAACATGTTTCTGCTAAGTTAATTTTATCAAACATAACGTCAATCATAAAAATAGAAAATTAACATTAAATTTTCCCAAAAAAAAAAAGCCAAAAACATGTGCCACCTTCTTGGCCTTTTCTTCTTAAATATCTTTTGATTGTGATGAAGAAGATTGCATGAAAAATCTATATATTATAAACATTACATAAGAAAAAAGAATATTAAAGAGATGCATCTGTGAAATTAGTTTCGGCATGTATCTTCCAACAAGTTTTTAAACAAAATAAGGGTGTATCATTTTCAGAGCTTTTGTTTGTATGTAATAGTAAAGACATTTTTGGATAGTAAGGGAAATTTTTTTTATAGGCTGAGAAAAAGTAAACCCCATCACTTAAACACGTTCACTGTAAGTATAGATTAAAATTTCTTCATTGAATATATCTTCCTTTCGAAAAAACAATTGCGGTATATCTTATGTAGATAACTTGTCACATCATGCGACTATGGTTATTTGAACTTTGAATGACAATGGGAGGGAAATTACAAGTTAGAAAAATCATAATTAGTTGTGCGGTTTTATTTTTTCAAGCAAAAACGAACCAGTAAAAAATAATTAGCTTGTTCAATTTTTATAATCTTTATTCATAAAATTTAAAAGAAAATAAACCAACGAAGAATGAATAATTTTGCTCAATTAAATTGATATTTTTAAATTTTTGCAATGAAACATACACATTTATATTTAAAAAAATGATATATTAGCAAACTAAAAAGTACTTATAAGTCAGGTTTTACTGACTTGGTTTGGATTCGACGTGACTAATTTTAAATGATAAAACTCCGATACTAAAACTAATAGACGTTAGATTTTATTCAAACTATATGCTATCGGTTTTAAATTACCCTTTGGGCACACAAAAGGTTTTGTTAGTGAAGACAAGTTTAAAAAGTTTTTTTTTAGAAGACCAGTTTGAAAGGTTTAATTGCCAAAATACATAGATAATCACTATTTAAAAAAGACATTTATATTCACTTATTTGAAGAAACACAGGCTTACATCAAGTGAAGAAGCTCTAATTTATTTTTTGGGAGACTAAACATAGCTGAATTTATGTCATAGGTATTTGTTTATATCATCTAAGATCATGAAATATACCTTGCAAGTTTGCATCTCCCCACAAGCAAAACAAAGAATGGAATGGCACCTAGCAAATATCCATTCCCAGCTAGCAATATAAAGAATAAAATAGCAACAAAGCATCCTAAAATTCCTAATTATACCATGGCAATGTTCAGTAGCTACCATTAATTAGATGTGGTTTAGTCTCCCAACAAAATTAGATGCTGGGTTTAATGTACTCAAATTTAAAGTAACCTTTTTCAGTGATCACAAAATAATATTTTTCAGTGATAACTTCACCAGCACTTTCTGGGGATGGTTCAAGAGACGTATAAGTAAAACTTGACAAGCCAAAAATTGTGAGACAAATTATCCAAAACTTGAAAAACAATAGAAGAGAAAAAAAGAACTGTTGTGAATGAAAATACATAGCTAAATCTGCCTGGAGAGGCAAAATGTTTGCTCTCTTCGCTAGGACAGTTGAATATAGATATGTCTAAAATTTCCTAACAAAGAGGCGCATAATTCCAATATGGAAAATTATAGATAAACATGAATTACAATGATTTCAAAATTTATTTCTACCAGGCATTCACATTGCATAATTTATATGCACACCTGTTCTTTTCCATATTCTCTTACAATCCATTCCTATCAGGCCTTAGCATTTGAATAATTTATATCCAGACCTGTTCTCTCCCATATTCTCTTACAATTACAGGTACACTTGTGGGGGGGACCTGCCAAAGTAGGAAATAAGAATAAATTTTTTTGTGTAATGCATCATAATATAAATCTAATGCCCTTTGAGAGTGCAAACTATGAGTTTCCAGGTTCTAATGCACTTTAGACATGTTTTGCAGCAAATGTATAACTTCAAATTTCAACACGTACCATGCCATAATCAGTGACTATCATTGAAACGTAATCTGAAGGCATTGCATCATAACTGCCATTAATTTAAAGAGAGTTGCAGGTTAGAATGGGGAAATAACAATTTGGTGTGATGTTGTAATCAATAAATACTTACATCAGATTTAGAAGTTGCAGATTTTCAATATCGGACCAACCATCCAAGTGGTTGACATCCACTCTACCCTGAACATTTGAAATGGCATCTGGATCACCTGTAAAATCATTATAAAAAGTAAAAACATCAGCCTTCTTACGGGAAATGGCCAATGGTTTATGATAAATAAATGCCTCGTCGTCTATAACAGTTAATATACATACCAAGTTCATTCGAGCAAATTGAATCCAGCTGTACCCTTTCATGAAATTTATAGGCCTCACAACATACTATGACTGGTACCCGAGATGCATGAGCAACCATTGCAACACTTGCAGTCCCCACTCTTGAATATACCGTTCCGTTAGAGAGTATTGATTCAGCACCTAGAAAAACTCGACTAACTTCATGCATTATGTAAGAAACAGCATTTATATGCGTGTATGTACAGTTAAGACCTTTCTCCACAAGCCTGCGGAGTAACTGTTGGCCTCTAAGCTTTGGACGAGAGTCGACTATCACAACACGAAATTGTTTTCCTAATTCGTGTGCATGTAAAAGAATCATTTCAACTGCCAATGATGACCCGTATGTCAGAAGAACATCCCCATCTCTTATTTTGGTGACAGCGTGCTTGACTATCACCTTGTTGGCAAGTATGATCTTCTCACTTATAAAACGCTCAATGTCTGACTGGAGAGAAGTTTTTGCTTCTGACTCAGACAAGGTTAAAGGTAGCTTGGCTATCTGACTCTTGAGAAATCTAATTGCATTTCCCATACTGATTGACAAAGGTCGGCACTCATTAAGAAACGATACATAACTACCAATTTTTGCTGTCAAATCTCTCCCGAGACTCTTCTCAGGTGGAACCTTGTAATCTTTGATGGCCTCTTGAAATGCTTGGAGCATTGCAATACATCGATCATTGCCACCAGATATATCTCCAGATATGTACTGCAAACCCACCTGATAGCCACAGTGAAGATCATTAGGATTTGAGAAAGCATATTTAAAAAGCTCTTGTTCACAAAACATATTGAACTGGTCCTAAATCCTAACTCCTAATCAATGTCCTATCCACTAGAACATCATGAACAAATTTTAACTTTTAACTACAATTTGGCTTATATTGGCGTGTCTTTATGAAAAAAATAGGATGCCAAATACAATAGGCTTATATTTGGACACCATTCAACATAACTCCACATATAGCAGATGGTGTATACTTTTAGGCCAGATTGTGCCTCTACCATTGTGCAAAGGGTTAAATTTTTTATTAACTGTCAATGAACCATACAATGTCACCCATAACCAATCTAAAACACCACTTTAGAGTATTACTGCAACTGGTGCAGTTGTGCATTGCAATGCTCAAAGCCACACACATAAGGTAAATATATTCTTATAGCTCATTAAAATATTATAATTTATCAATCCAACCTTCAAATTAAAAGTTCATATTAAGTAGATTGAATCACAAGTTTTCATATATTTTAAAGACTATATGATGCTTTATCAAATAACTTCAAATGAATGTATAAAAAACATTTTAAAAAGATAAGAAAATGTTGATACCCAAATTAAATAGCTACAAATTTAGGATCTAATGTTTATAATGAGTTATTAACTCTACTACTATTATACCCAAAAATAACAGCGGTATATAAATAAATAAATAAACAAATGTATATAGTTGCTGACATCAAATGACAGGATAACAGAGTACCTTATAAACAGCAGGATGCAACGCCTCAAGATCGAAAAACTTTGCCTCAAGATCTGGAAGCTGACTCCCATGTTCATATTGTGGTAAATGCCTGAACAACTCAACTCTGTTCCTAGCCTCGGTGTGTTTCACTACAGAACGACGTTTAGCTTTCTCCACCCGGCTCTTGTCATCATACTGCAAGCGTGGTTGAGGAGCATCTTTCTTTCTATCCTTTTCATGGGGAAAATCACTCCCCTTCTTCTCAGTGGCTGCAACTGATGCATTATCAGCTTTCTGTGCAGGCTTTACTGCTTTAGCGGGTTTTGCATTCGCTGATGTAGCAGTTGAAGACGCCTTATTTCCTTCACCTAAAGACACATTTTATTAAATTTTAATTTATTAGCATCATCATAATGATTCTTGCAAAAACATTACCTATGAAACAGCTCGTAAACAGCAAACTATATGTTTGTAATAAACATCATAAAAAAACACAATATTTGAGTTTGTGAACACTTAAAAGTAGTTCTGAGAAAGAACTGGGTATCAATAATAAACTATTAAGATCAGAGAGTTCAGATGCAGAGTCACAGACAGACACGCTACTATTTCCAAATCAAATATGGGAACACTAATACACACCTTTTGCAGCAGCCTTTGCAGCTCGTTGAGCTTCTTGAATTGCACGTCTTTCTGCTTTTGTGAGTTTAGGTTTCTCCTGTTTTGAATTAGTAGATTGGTCTTTCATTTCCCCAGCTGACCCTCCTCCTTTGTTTGCCTTTTCTTTTTCTAATGGTCAAGAAGAAAAATGTAGCAAAAGCAAGTCAATAAGAAGAAAAAAAACAGACCACATACAACAAAGTTCAATTTTTCTCTTCAAAAGACATCCTCATGTACACTGATAACAAGCAATTCGAGCTGATTCCAATTCTTTATCATCATACAATTAAACTTGCAAATGGTGATAAAATCAAGACACTCACACACACAATGCAAGTGGAGATTATAACGTGTGGCAAAAGATAGGTTAAAAATTATATATTAAAAAACAAAGACCCTTCTCTTTATGCAAAAGACAAACACGCATATATCTACACTACTGTAAAGGGAAGACAAGTTTACTTCCAAGTTTCAACTACATATAAAATTAACTAATCAGCACTCTTCAGTACAAAATACATTAAACTAATACATATATACTTAAGCACAGTAGAATAAAGCATAGAGGCGAACACTGCATGCTAGTACATATACAACTTTGAACTTATGTTCTATCTCAAGTAACTTAACATTACTTCGTATACATTCAAACAAAATCCTTCTTTGTAAGCCTATTATATTAAACGCATTACCCAATTTCATAAATTTTACATCTTTAAAAACCTGATTCTATGCACTATCTAGAATTCTAGATCAAACCAAAAATTAAAGATTAATCTTTACTTTCACTTTCTAGTTCATATTTCACAAAAAGCTTAATCAAACATCATAAACTGCATTTTTCCACATCCTTATTTCACCCTACACTTGCTGAAAGCCTGAAACTCAAATTCAAGGCTAGTTATATTGATTTATATGAATTTATCAAATCGTATAATCACATGTGAGACTATTTGAGAGAGTTTATAAAAAAAAAAATTATGACATGTCCGTAAGTTGTCCTCATCTATTTCGACAAGCACTACAAAATAGATCATGAAAACAGCTTCTACGAAATATGTAAACACTTTTACTTTATTTTATCTTTTGCTACTGAAATTGTATATACAAAAGCACTTATTGTGGTAAACGCTTAAGCAAGAAGCCCTTAATTAGATTGTTTATCCAAACACACCTCAAATAGTATTCTCATTCTCTACTAGTGAAAATCCAAAACCAGTTCAAATTCAAACAAAACAAACTATAGATTACTATCAAAATCAAAATCAACAAAGATAAAAATCTTCAGAATCTCTCACCAGGAATCCCAAGCGAATCATTCACAACAGAAACAGTAGTCAACCCACTCGCTGGAACAACACCACCACCATTCCCCTTCAACGCCGTCAAATCAAACCCCCCTCTCGGAAACGAAGACGCCACAACCTTCCCAGCATCACTCCCCTTCCCATCAAAAAACCCTCTGTCACCACCAACAACAACCCTACTCGAATACGACGACGACGGCGCCGGCGAAACCGGAGCATCAGAGTTACTCCCACCAACAGTAATCGACTCAGCACGGCGAGGCAACGCGGCGGACCGAGCGTGCATCGTTAGGTTATCAGAAAGATGACGCGGCGGAGGGATCATAACAGGTGAAAGAGAAGCGGAGGTGTCGGCGATAGGGTGAGAAGAGTGAGACGGGTCGGGTGGACCCGAGAGAGAACGGTCGGGTGGGGCTCCGGGAGCGAAGAAACCGACTTGACGGAATTTAGGGACGGGGTCGATTATGGTGCGGGGTGCTCGGCGTGGAGGATCCATGGAAATGGAAGTTGAGTAGTGAAGTGAGGTTTAGCTTAGGTTAAACGCGCGTTTGGATAGAAGCTGAATTTAAAAGCGATTTTTTTCTTTTATTTTTGGGTTTGTGCCGGAATTTCGGAATCTTAACGAGAGGGACAGAGTTTTTGCAAGAGTAACCGTTAAGACACAAGTGATATAACTTAATCTGTTTTTATATAGATACTTTTTTAATTTTATATTTAAAGTATCAATCTTTTTTAAAATTAATTTTAAAAGATATTAAATATAATTAATAATTTTATAATATATAAGATTTACCAGTTTTTTCAAATAATTTAGTGTTAAAATCTTATTTTAAAAAATGAATATGTCAATTGTCTAGATTTTTATTTTTATTTTACTAAAAGTCTCATATATTAAATAAAAAAACTTAGAAAAGGTAGGACACGAACAAAAGTCAATCCTAGTTTATGTCATTTTTATTAGAAGGTGTAATTTTTGTTTTGTCGAACAGCATAGAAATATATTGAATTAAACTAGTTGTCAATAAGTTATCAGCTGTATTCGACAGAGTCGAATACAACATTCTTGTATATAGTTGAATTGGATCTGGACATTGTATGTCTATATGAAAGGCTTGCCAGTTTATAAATCTAACAATGGAATCACAATTCAATTTTACAAGTTAAGATTAATAATAAACTTTCAATCTATCTCTCTCTTCTTCTTTCTTCTTCTTCTTCCTTTATCAATCATCTTTTTTGAAAATTCTTTATTCCAACAAATTGGTATAACATAGCTCGGTTGCGATTCAAAGAGAATCTAATGGCAAGCGGAACAACAACGTCAACGCAATTTCCAGTGAATCTACCAATTTTCAAAGGTGAAAACTGTCAACGGTGAATTGCACAGATGAAAGTTATCTTTAGATTTCAAGATGTTGTTGAAATCTTGAATGATGGAGTATCAGAATTGGAAGCAAATGCGACGGATACCCAGAAAATTGCACACAAAGATCAGAGGAAGAAAGATGGTAAAACCTTATTCTTGATTCATCAGTGAGTGGATTCTGGTGTATTTGAGAAGATAATTGAATAAGAAACAATAAAAAGAGCTTGAGAATATAGAACATTTCAAAGTAATAATTCTGATGATTTTATTCATTGATCAATGTACTATATATACACAAAAGAGTCCCTACAATTCCTCTTCTATTAAGGGAATGAAATAAATTATTTACAGCACAAATATTTTCCTACTTAATTTAGCTAAAATATCTTTGACTTATCTTAACACCCCCACTCAAGTTGGTGCATGGATATCACACATTCTCAACTTGAACAAAGACTCATTAAACACCTTACTTGCCACTCCTTTAGTGAGAACATCTGCTAACTGAAATTCAGATCTTACAAAAGGAAAAGAAATTATTCCAGCTTCAAGTTTCTCTTTGATAAAATGTCTATCGATTTCTACATGCTTCGTTCTATCATGTTGCACAGGATTGTGCGCAATGGCAATTGCTGAAGTATTGTCACAATACAAAGTCATAGTCTCCCTTGGTTCAAAACCCAAATCTGATAGAACATTTCGTATCCATAAAAGTTCACAAACTCCTAGTGCCATGTCTCTAAACTCATCTTTAGCACTAGACCTTTCTACTACCTGTTGTTTTTTACTCCTCCAAGTTACAAGATTCCCCCTACAAATGTAAAGTAACCAGAGGTAGACCTTCTATCATTTCTTGAATCTGCCCAATCAGCATCGGTATACCCTTCTACCTTCAAGTTTCCATGATTTGAGAATAAAATTCCTTTTCCAGGAGTGAACTTCAAATATCTCAAGATCCTTTCAACGACATCCATATGAGCTTTCCGTGGATCATGCATAAATTGACTAACGACATTTACTGCATATGTAATATCTGGCCGTGTATGAGACAAGTAAATTAGTTTTCCCACCAACCTATGGTATTTTCCTTTGTCTATGCTGGTTGAATTTTGGCATTGAAATAGCATATGATTTTGTTCAATTGGGGTATTAATAGGTTTACACCCAAGCAGTCCTGTTTCAGATAGTAAATCAAAAGTATACTTTCTCTGGCATAGAAAAATCCCATGTTTAGATCTAGCTACTTTAATACCCAAGAAATATTTGAGGTTTCCAAGTTGCTTCATCTCAAATTCAGAAGCGAGGTATTTTTGCAAACTAGGCATCTCATCTTGGTCATTCCCTGTAACAATCATATCATCTACATAAATAATCAAAGCTGTAATTTTACCTCCTCCTTTCTTCAAAAATAAGGTGTGATCAGAGTTACTTGCTTTATAGCCAAAAGCCTTCATAGACTTAGTAAACCTACCAAACCATGCTCTTGGGGATTGTTTTAATCCATATAGAGCCTTTCTTAACTTGCAAACCTTCATCCCATTTGAATCTATCATACCTGGTGGTAGATCCATATAAATTTCTTCTAAAATTTCTCCATGTAGGAAAGCATTTTTCACATCAAATTGTAGAAGAGGCCAATCTTGGTTTGCTGCCAGTGACAAAAGTATTCTCACAGTGTTGAGCTTGGCTACCGGCGTAAATGTCTCTTGATAATCTACACTGTAAGATTGAGTATAACCTTTAGCCACTAGTCGTGCTTTATACCTCTCAATAGTTCCATCAGCTTTGTGTTTAATTGTATAAACACATCTGCACCCCACAGTTTTCTTCCCTTTTGGTAACGTCAGAAGATCCCAAGTGTTGTTTTTTCTAAAGCTGCCATTTCCATAACCATTGCTTCAGTCCATCTAGGATCTGCTAAAGCTTCTTGCACATTACTAGGAATAAAAATTGAGGATAATTGAGATACAAATGATGCACATGACTTAGATAACTTGTGAGATGACACATAATTACTAATGGGATATTTAACTTTGGACTGAAGGTCTGGTTCATATCTAATGGGAGGTTGACCATGGTTAGAATGAGGTGGAAGATTATATTGGACAATAATGGATTCAGTGTTAGGTGTGTTGGTGGTCTCATGGAAACTAGGGTCAATTTCATGATCAATTTCATGACAAAAGGAATCAACTTCAGAATAAACATTAGTACCTACTTCAGAATGACAGGGGTAGAGTGAAGAATAAAAGATTCTCAGTTATCTGGTATGCTTGCATTTGGGTAGTGTGGAAATGTCGTAACGGAAAGATTTTCAGAAGTTCAAACGGGCCGTTAGATGATTGGATAAAGAAATTCAGGTGCTGGCTTAGACGGGGTTAGAGTATAAGTTCAAAGGCTTCAATTTCTCCTTAAGTCAATGGATTTCGAACCCTTTAGAATGTATATGAAGCCTTCTTTCGCAGCAATCCAGGGTGTATGTTCAAGTGGAGTGTGTCGGGCGATGGAAGTATGGTTGTTCGCGTTTTCTGCTCAGAGCGTTTCAGTTGAACCAATGTGGAGCGTAACGTTCAGGGACATGCTAGTTTATTAGATAATATATTCCTTCCTCACCCTTGGAGAGATGCTTCTTCAACCTGCTTTAGATTGGATACCGATATGGTACTATATGAATCTATTGGTGGCGGCATGGTTGGTTTTGCCGCAGGTTAAAGGAGTTGCTTACTTGTATGAGAGGTTTGTGAGAGATCATATACGAAAACCTTTAGGTTGATTGGCGCTGGGTTGATATTTAGTGTCGGGTGCAATTCGTTGAAGGCGTATAAATTAGAGGCAACACTGATATATCTTCTCTAATGGTAGAAATATGGTGTGGCTTCAATAAAAGTCTTGAGGAATTGGAATATGATTTGGGAGTAGTATTTCTATAGTTGGAGGTGATCGTTTTTACATATTGTCGTTTTGTTGGGTTCAGGCTGTTAGTAACTAGAGTCAAATGGAGGGTGTGTTTAGTTCTAATCCATCTTAGTTTTGTTGCAATTTGGATTGGAGTGCGTAGTGGAGAACTGTGCTAAGGACCTGCATCTGTGGATTCTGTCCAAGATGCTTAAAATTTCTGCTCAATTCTGACTGCATATGTATTGATTTTGGTGTCTATTAGTTTGTGTATTAATTTAGTTGGTGATGGTTTGTAGCTCCAAGATATTAGGGGCTGTGGGATTTTCATAGTAACTAGTCAAGTAGTGGCGTGTGGTCTGCTGTTTGATAGCATGTCTATATGTAACTTGGCATTTCCTATGCCCCTGATTAATAAAGTTAATATTTTTGGCCTTTCAAATAAAAGTTTGTTTACGCATGTTTATCATTTGTCTTACCTTTCATATATTTTTTTAGTTCAGTAGCTCAAACATCTAAAACATAGTACTTAACATATTTTAGAGCAGCTAAAAAATCTATAGTTGAAAGACATATAGTTCATTCACCAACATAATATCTTAAACAAGTTAAAATAATTGTTGAGTTATTACTTGATGTCTTGGTAGACTTTTAAATTCAACGAAAAGTTTAGCAAGCTCGATACAACATTACAACTTGAACCACTGAAAAATTATATTCATCGAGTGAAGACTACATTTGACATATGCATTTGTGTTATTGAAAAAATATCAGTATCATGGATAAACCAACTTCATTAGTGTAAATACATGTCCTTATAATCTAGATCTAGATGCTAGGTTGTTGTTTTGAGTGACGTTATTAGTTGCTTGGGTGGTTTTATTTTTATTTTTATGTATGTGTCTCTTTCATGTTGTTTCAAAGATATATCACTATTAAAAAAATACATTTAATCTCGAACGCTAAATATATTTAATCTCAACTAAAAAAATGAGACAACGAAAGGCGTCATGAAATTTTTTCACTTAACACATTGGTGATTTAAAAAATAAGGGGTAAAGTTATATGCACATGTGCTCGAACCCCAATAACAACACTTTTATTATTTTCAAAACTAGTGTATCTTATATCTCGGGTTATCTAGAAAAACGAGAGGTAACATTATTTATTTATTTATTTTTAAAATGTACATTTTTTGTCAATGATATTACATTGTTTACACAAAATATTAAAATAAAAATCAAATTCTCTAGAGATCTAGATAAAAATAAAATTTCCCGAAGATTTAGATTTTAGATTTTAGATTTTTAATTATTGAATCTTGGGAAAGATCAAATGTCGGATGTTGGATCTTGCATGCATTTGTTTCTGATGAAAAAAAGGGCAAGATAATTAAAATCAATATTCAAATATATGATTTTCGGCTCAAATAAAAATTTAAGAAAACAAACCTTAACCCAGATAATTTTCTGCTCTTGCAATTCACCATAGAAAACTTTTCCAAGCGTATATAGGTTTCAAGTGCTTCATGGTTCATTTAGGTTAGAAACATTAATATGCTTTTATAATGGATGTCTCTGATGGGCTTGTGTTCCCTTCCTATATGGAGAAAGACCAAAATATGAATAGCCTATTTATCTCATTTATATAAGTGAAGAGTTTCAATTTATGATTAAGAGAGAGATAGAGAAAAATAAGGATTCAGAAAGAGAGAAAAGTTGAGAAAAACTCATTCCAGTTTTTTCTGCAGCAGTCTCACTAAAACAATGATCCCTGATTCATTCACCGTCGGATCGAACTTAAATTTGGTGGGCTTTTCACAACACATATATCTAACTTTCATCTTTTGAGATCTTCAAAACAAGGCCTGAGTTGAGAGATATGGTCTTCGCATTGAAGCTGCAGATTTAGGAACATTTCCAGCTTTTTGATTCTTATTTGTAAGTTAGTTTGCTTTATGATTTGCAGTTGTTATCATTATTTTGTGAATCATTTTAGGACTCTCTTGTAACCTTAATTGAATATAGTGGAGCTATTTTCTTTGATCTGGATGAATCATGGTTTTTACTCTCACATTGAGGGGTTTTCCACGTTAAAAAGATTGGTGTTCTTTTATGCCCTCAAAGCTCCGAATGTCAATCAACCAAAGCTCCGAATGTCCGCTTTAATTTGATCTATGTGCATATGCTTGATGATTGTGGTTATGACAATCACTTTGGTTTTGGAAAGTGGAAAATCAAAAAAGGTAACTTAGTTATGGTTAGAGGGGAAAAGATTTCTAAATTATATTGGACAAAAGTTTTGGTTTGCTAGGGACAGTGTGAATGTTATCGACATGGAAGCATCTTTGTGGTACCGAAGACTTAGTCATATTAGTGAAAATGGACTGATTATTTTGGCCAAAAAGGATATTCTTTAAGGTTTGAAGAATCCATATTTGGAGAAGTGTTCTCATGGCATGAATGGTAAACAAACTAGAGTATCTTTCAAGAGACATCCTCCCTCAAGGAAGTCAAAGTTGCTTCAATTAAAACATTATGATGTTTGTGGGCCATTAAAGGTAAAATCTTTTAGTGGTGCACTTTATTTTGTTACCTTTATTAATTATTGTTCTAGGAAACTATGGGTTTATGCATTGAAGACAAAAGACCAAGTGTTAGAGAAGTTCAAAGAATTTCATGTTTCGGTAGAGAGGCAAACATGCGAAAAGCTGAAATGTGTCTGTTCTTATAATGGTGGTGAATATTGTGGACCATTTGATTCCTATTGCAAGCAACACAGTATTTCACATGAAAAGACTCCTCCTAAAACTCCTCAATTGAATGGTTTAGCAGAAAGGATGAATCAAACATTAATTGAGAGAGTAAGGTGTATGCTCTCTGAAGCTAAATTTCTAAATAATTATTGGGGTGAGACACTTTACAAGAAGGTACATGTTCTTAATCTCACTCCTACTGTTACTTTGAATAGTGAAGTTCGAAACAAGATTTGGTTTGGAAAGAGTGTAAAGTATGATCATTTGAGAGTCTTTGATTGTAAGGCTTTTGTGCATATTCCAAAGGATGAAAGATCCAAGTTGAATGCAAAGTCAAAACAATCTATATTCATCGGCTATGGGCAAGATGAGTTTGGTTATAGGTTGTATGATCCTGTAGGGAAGAAGCTTATTTGAAGTTGTGATGTAGTATTCATGGAAGACCAAAATATTGAAGACATTGATAAGGTAGAGAAGACTACACCCAAAAAAGATATCAGTTTATCTAATGTTGATCCAGTTCGGTTACCTAATCATAATGTAGATGCTATTGATGGTGATGATCATAATGGTGATCCATATGATTATGTTGATGATCAACAACTTGGAGATGAGGTAAACATTCAAACTAATGATGATGATGATGATGAAGGGGAAAATGATATGACACATGATGAGAATCTTGGTGAAGCTCTAGAATCATCTCAAGTTCAACTTAGGAGGTCTATCAGGCAGAGACAACCTTCTACAAGGTATAATTCTGATGAGTATGTAAGCTTGACTGATGAGGGTGAACCTGAGTGTTTTCAAGAGGCCATGGAAAGTGATGAAAATCAAAATTTGTTGGATGCAGTACATAAAAAAATGAAATCATTGTATGATAATCACACTTATGGTTTAGTGAAGTTTCCTAAAGGCAAAAGGGCTTTGAAAAACAAGTGGATTTATAGAGTTAAACATGAGAGCAACTCTAAGTCTCCAAGATATAAAGCTAGATTAGTGGTGAAAGGTTTCCATCAAATAAAGGATGTTGATTTTAATGAGATTTTCTCACCCGTTGAAAAGACATCAACAATAAAAATTGTATTGAGCTTAGTTGTTATTCTTGATTTAAAGGTTGAGCAAATGGATATGAAAACAGATTCCTTCATGGTGATTTGGAGGAGAGATCTACATGAAACAACCCGGTGGTTTTCAAGTTAAAGGCAAAGAAGATCATGTTTGTTGATTGAGAAAGAGTATATATAGGTTGAATCAAGCTCCAAGATAATGGTACAAGTTGTTTGAGTCTATTATGTGTGATCGAGGATACAAGAAGACTACTTCAGATCATTGCGTCTTTGTTAAAAAAATTTCTAACGACGAATTTATTATCCTGTTGTTATATGTTGATGATATGCTTATTATAGGGGAAATATTTCTAACATTAGCAGGTTAAAGAAGCAGCTGGGAGAGTCATTTGCCATGAAAGACACGAGAGCAGCTAAACAGATTTTTGGCATTAGAATCACGCGTGACAGAAAAGAGAAGAAACTTTGAATGTTACAAGAACATTATATTGAAAACTTGTTGCAAAGATTCAAAATGGAAAACTCTAAGGCAGTAAGCACTCCTCTTTCTATTCATTTCAAATTGAGTTCTAATCAAAGTCCTTCAAGTGAAGATGAAACATTTTATATGAAACGTGTTCCTTATGCATCTGTTCTGGGTAGTTTGATGTATACAATAGTGTGTATAAGACTAGATATAACACATGTTATTGGTACAGCCAATAGATTTTTGTCAAATCTATGTAAAGAGTATTGGAATGCTGAAAATGGATCTTAAGATATCTTTGCGCTACTACTTCTATGAGACTTTGCTTTGGAGGAGATAAGCTTACACTAGTAGGATACTCTGACTATGATATGGCTGGAGACATTGATTCCAGAAAGTCCACTTTGGGCTACATGATTAAATTTGCAGGGGGAGTTGTGGCTTGGCAGTCCAGATTGCAAAAGTATGTAGCATTGTCTACTACAGAAGTTGAGTTTATTGCTATTACTGAAGCATGCAAAGATTTACTATGGTTGAAGAAATTTTTGCAGGAGCTTGGTTTTGTTCAATACAAATATGTGTTATTT